CAAAATCTTCATTATATTCTTCATAATTAACTTTCCCCATTAAGTAATTAAATTAAATTATCAGCTTATATGTTAGAAGGATCGATGCGCAATCGTCAAAAGGATATGACCATAAAGATATATAGAGATAAAGAAAGAGATAGACATATTAAAGTTAGAATAAAATTGATATATCTCACAGTTATCTACTTTTAACTCATCCTATATAAATGACTTATGATTAATGAGGATATACAACTTTGATTTTCTCTATATTGATTGTTCTTTATACGTTATCAACATGTAAGCTCATTCAATTGAATCAGTCCGCTACTGCTGAAAGTTTTTGTTAACAACTATGGTTTACTTCAAATTTTTAAGAAAGGCTAGCTCGATTCTTGGACCAAATTCTCCCTCGAGTTTCAACTTTTTTTGCGTGTTATCAAAGAGCTATAGTGCCATGAACAATGAAGATCACTATCATGATAAATGAAGTCAACAAAATTACAGGTGAGGTTGCTCGTCTAACAAGAAAGAGAAAAACAAAGAACAAGAAAAAGGAATATTATTAAATAAGGTTATGATTGGTGCTTTAATCATAATATAAGTCATCGAGAAAACAGAGATGAACGAGACTAGCTGCCCAGGAGAGTTCAATCCTCAAATTAGAGACCTAAGGAGAAAGGGTTGTAGATTTGTAGTCGTAATCAGGATTTGACGAGATGGCAAATCTAGTAGAAAAGGGAAAGGATTGGATCATTTGGCCAAATTTTCAAAATATTATAATTGTCCAAATGAGCTAAAATAAGAGGGAGGGGCCAAAGGGATTGAGGTAAGTCAGCCCCCTCTGTAGCAACATGGGGACGAAAAAAGGAAATAGAGGGATGTGTTAAGCATGTCGCCAGCGTTCATCCTGAGCTAGGACAAGGAATTCGCTACCTTAGGACCATTATAGTTACGGCCGCAATCGCCCTCTGTGAGATAACCGGATCCTGGTTATCACCAAAGGTAAATATTACGTGATTATATGATTTAATAATTTTGTGTCAACATTGATATTTTTGATCATATTGGTATGTAAATTTTTTTTTGTGTTTATGAATATACATGTATGTGAATGCATGTATAGTACATGTATGCATGGAATATATATAAATATATATATATGTGTGTGCAAGGTGTATGCATGCATGTGAGGTTTTGAGGAAAAGGGGCTGGGGTTAACCGACTTTCCTTAAAAGGAAAGTATAAAAGGAGGGTTTCAGCCTCCATTCTTTCTGCTTGCCTTTTTGGTCATATTTGAGTGATTTAAAGAAGAGAAGTGATCGGATATCTTATTTGAAGATTCAAACAGTTGGTTTTGAAAAGCTTTTTGAGGTGAGTGATTCTAACATTTTTGCATAAAAATTGGTACTGATTTTAGTAGTATGTTGTTTATTATTGGATTAAAATCATATATTTTGTTCAAAGTTTTATCTGGATTTAGAATAATTGGTTAAGTGTTAATCCGGACAAGACTTGTACGGATATCTTTTTAAACCGGATAAGCCTAGAGTGGAGTGTTATCCGGATTGTCTTAAACCGGACAAAACATGAACGGAGTGTTGTCCGGATTATTTTAAATCGGACAAGGGTTGAGCGGGGTGTTGTCCGGACTAGTATCCAGATAAAGCTGTTGAAGATATTCTAAGTATTAAAATTGGACAAGTATTAAGAGGTGTATTGTCCGGATTAATATATCGGACAAAAGGGGACTGTTATCCGGACTTCAAATCCGGACAAGTTGTCCGGATATCTTTTAGTTGGAATTTTTCATAAGTTTTATGTTTAAACTTTTTATATAAATGTCTATTATWGGGGTTAATTGTGGATTATAAAATGGGTATTTTTATATCCTTTTAAATATAGATATGTTCCTACCAAACGTGGTGACGTAAGTCTGTTTTGGTATTGGAACGGGATTTTGGGAAATGTTCCTACCAAGCGTGGTGACGTAAGTCTGTTTTGGTATTGGAACGGGATTTTTGGGAAATGTTTCTACCAAGCGTGGTGACGTAAGTCTGTTTTGGTATGAAACTATATTTTGGGAAACCTTCCTACCAAGCATGGTGACATAAGTCTGTTTTGGTATGAAAGTGGATTTTATAAATGGTTTCTACCAAGCGTGGTGACGTAAGTCTGTTTTGGTATGAAACACTGTTTTAAATAGTAGATCCCCAGACGTGGTGACTTTTGTCTGTTCTGGTTTAAAACTGGGAATGGGTACTTTCAGACGTGGTGACTTATGTCTGTTCTGATAAGTAGCCCTGTTTTTGGTGGATGAACAAGGGTGACATATCAAGGAGAGGTGTACTTGGAATAAGGGTGGCATTATCATATGTGGATATTATTATAACTCTTATTATTATTACTAAATTGGATTTAATAACTTTAAGTCATCATTTCTTTGTGACCTGATGAATTAAATATATTATTCCTATTTAGAAGTAATAATTTAGATGTTATTCAAAAGGGCAAAATGGTTTGTCATATCAGGCAAGTTTTGCCTTAAATCTTTCCTGTTAAAAGAATGAACTTTTAATTCAAAAGTTTTGATACTGAGAATGTTGGATCTCTATTCAGAAATATTTTATTGAGGTTCTTGGGTATATTCTATTTTGCATAATATTGTGAACTGCATCATTTATTTATATTGCAGTATATTTCTAAGCAAAATTTCATTATCATATTTTGGTGTTCATCACCCTGCATTTGCAAAGAAGGAATTTACTCACTAGACCCGTATGGTCTAACCCTCATTTTCTATTTTAAATTATGCAATGCAGGAATAGCTGGGTCCGGGGATATAAAAGGRAAAGGGAAAATGTGATTATTTTTCTAATATGTTTCCTGCTTTTGAAGATACATGTTATATTACATGTGGTAGTACATGATTTGTTTTGAAAATTTATATGTAAATTTTGTACATATAGTAATCATTGTACTAGTGAGACCTTTTGATGTAATCCATGTTTCTATGTAATGAAATATGTGTTTTATGCAAATGTGGAGTATGGGGGTGTTACACTCTGAACGATCAAAATAAGGTAAAGCTTGAAAGCCCAGATCATGCTAAGGTCCCTAAGAAATCACTTAGTGGAAAAGGAAGTGATCGAGCGATGACCTCAGAAGCTAAAAATTTTGGGGGCCTAAACTTTTTCGGAATCTTACATTGGTACTCACTTTAGCACAACTTTGCACATATTCATACAATATACAAAAATGCGTACACTATATATACATTATATATATATACACATTATATATATATATATATATATATATATATAGGGTTGAGTTTACGTGAGATCAAGAGTTTTTCGTGAGACCCGTAAGACCAATTTATGTTCATTGATCAACTTTATAAACTAATGATCTAATGGTCTAAAGTTGCATGGTGGCAATTGTGATTATTGAGAAATCTCATGGCGTTTATGAATGTTCAATTTGTTAGATTGTAGATTTAATCCAAGGGTTGAGAATTGGTCTTACGGGTCTCACGAAAAACCCTTGGTCTCACATGATCCCAAGCCTATATATATGTATATATATACACCCAAATTGTACTAACCTATCAATGTACCATCTTGGAAAAAACCCGAATAATCCATCTGAACCATTTTATTGAGACGATGAGAGCTGCTTTGATTAAAAAGATGGTCATAACCACTTTTTTAGGAAATAAAAATATGTCTCCCTATTTTTTAAATCGAAAATCAGCGAATATATAACAAACGTGGAGAACAAATTATGGCAAAAATGTGATTATCTTATTATCTTTAATCTGACACCCATCTTGATATATTTCTCAGTTCATCCGTTTTTTGGTGGTTCTCTGAGGTTTTTTTCCAGGGTCCTCTCTAGATACACATATATGAACATCAGTGCATATATATGTAGAAAGGTATCCGGACTATATATTTATTCACACACACACATATACATACATACATACGTACATACGTACATACGTACATACGTACATACGTACATACGTACATACATACGTACATACATACATGCGTGCATGAATGCATGCATACATACATACATACATACATATATACATACATACATACATTGGGATTCATTTGAGAAGTGGTAAGTATTTGAGAAGTAAAGAAGTGATCCTAGTCTTTCTGGTCAACATTTACGACTTTGACTGTGAAGCACCAGAAAACTCCTTGCATGAGTATACGGATGATAGAGGGATAGTTTCGTAACTTTTACAAACAAACGACAAACAAGTTCATATGTGAACCCGAGTGATTCACATATAGGGTATGTTTTCACATGTGAATCAATTAATTAGTTTATATGTAAATCACACGGGTTTATATGCGACTTACTTAAAATAGCTCATATGTGAATTACACAAGTTCACATATGAACCGTTTGCCGCGTATTTGTAAAAGTTACAAAACTAACCTCTCTATTTTTCGCATAACCGCAAATTTTGACCAATCAAAAACACAATTCTTGACTAGTCAAACCCGCAATTCTTGACCAGTCAAATTCGATCTTGACTGTATGAAGAGCTATGATCATTTATTTACTTCTCAGATATTTACCACTTCTCAGAAATACCTACCGTTACCTACATATATACACGAAAACGTACATGCATGACATACACAAACAAATATATATAGAAAATACATATTTGTCGGTGATCATCAACGGTTTATATAAACATGACAACATATATACTTGCATACACATAATAAAACATACATATAAATATGAATACACATACACAAACAAGCATATACACATAAAAAGTACATAAAACTTTTATGTGTACATAAAACTTTACAAAAAACGAAATGGGGTTACAACATATAAAAGAAAGATCCGAATTACAAGTACTTAATTACGACAAATTTGTGGGGTTTCCTTCTTTTCAAAAAAGATACAAAAAACAGATCTTTCAGATAAAAAAAACATTCATAAATCTGAAGAAGAAAAGAATCGGGATCAAAATGTCTACGTTGATGGTTCCATCGGTGCCACCTACACCTCGCGATGATGCCAAGCATCTACACAAAGCTTTCAAGGGTATGCATATAAATTCTACGTATCCGTTTCAACTGGATCTCCATTACCATTTCCTTCGTTGTTCTCCTGATTTATTTTTCGAAATTATATACAATTCGTGGTTGTAGATTTTGCATGTTTTCATACTTCGATTTGATGTGTTCATGAATGTAAAACGAGAACTCGAAGGTTCAAATTTATGACTTATTATTGAAGAACGAGATGCAATTTGGTTTCCAATTTTTTGTTTCAATACAACTAAATTGATGACTTTACAGGACGTCTAGAATGTTTACGTGTCCCTTACAACACGTTTATAATCAGCAACATTTTGGGCATTTTAACAAGTTTTTTAGAATGCTTTTATATAAAGTGTTCTATTAGCTGTTTTATAAGACAATTTTACAAGACATTTGTGTTTGTAGAACACTTTTTCAAATAGTGTCTTATAAAATAAATATTATAACATTTTAATTATTTTAAAATCGTAGTAAAAAAACTTGTGAAAACGCCTAAAAGGGTCCTACGTACAAACTTACTGCAATACTTTTAGATATAATGTATTTTTGATTTCTTCCTATAAACATAAGTCTTTTATATATTATGACGCTTAGACATTTTAGCCGTAGTATAAAGCCTCTTTGATACAAAATCACTGATAATAATTACATACAATGTGTATTCAGGTTTCGGATGTGATACTTTAGCTGTTATCAATATTCTTGCGTATCGGAATGCATCACAACGCCCTCTCTTAGAACACGAATATAAACTCAAGTACTCTCAAGACTTAAGCAAACGATTATCATCAGAGCTTAGCGGTAATCTTAAGGTAATATAACTAGGAAGGCAGGTTTCGTTAGGAAACTAAAATTTATAAGGAACCCACGAACCGCATACATTGTGTGAGACATGACATGTTTTATTCATCATGAATGTTAACAAGCCCATATTCATAATGAATATATGATTCATGATGAATAAAACTGTCATATTCATCATGAATATGTTATTTATGATGAATATTCATCTTGAAGAAGGACACGTAGCGCAATATGAACGGTTCTATAGTTCTTAATCAATTTTGGATTTCTAACGGAACTTTCGAATTATCTATTTTTCCTTTTTATTGTTCTTTAAAATCTCATGTACTTTCTTTATAAAGTAAAAAAACTAGAATCAAGCTCCCACTTGAATCAAACACATCCATCGAAATTTGTGAAATTTTAGGGTCTTCTCTGATAAATTATAAACTTAAAAGGTGTTCTCTTAAATTAAAAAAAAAACTAAAAATGATCCACCTCAAACTTCACCATCAAATAGACAAAGTTACAGACTTCATTCAACTCCCTCTCTTTTTATAAAACCTTTTCATCTTCTTTTATTATCTTTCTTCTAATGTGAGACAACTTCACCAACACTTCTATAATTTTTTTTTTGCCTTTTTTAATGATGATTTAAAAAAAAGTTATTGTTTAGTTTTTATAGTTAAAAATGCACAATATTATTCAAATATCTAAAAACATAAGAAATTTTTATTACATTATATTATACATACTATATTATAAAACTGATTATATTTTTAAAAATAATTATAGATAAAAAAGGTATCTAGTATCTCACGAGCTTTTTGAGTCGAGTATTAGGTAGCTCGACTCGACACGTTAATATATCGAGTCGAGTATTAGGTAGCTCGACTCGACTTGTTAATATATCGACTCGAGTTTGAGTTTGAGTTTGAGTCGAGTCTATCCGAGTCGAGTGTTGATCGAGTCGATCTCGAGTAGCTCACGAGTTGTTTCGTGTCATTTACACCCCTATATGTGATAGTCTTTTATCTGGGCTGTTTACCAACACAAACTAAGTAAAATTACGATTACCGATAAGAGCATTGTTTCAGAGTCATCACCCTTATTTACCTTACCTTAAAAGGTAAGATTCTCGGTCATCAAAATAGCATTGTTTCAGAGTCTCTTATTTGGTAAGTGTTAACTTGGTAATAGCCACACCATCACACACCGGGTTAGATTATTGTTTAGCACAAAATAGCATAGCAAGATTGTTGGTAAATACCAGTATACCATCATCCTTGACCGGGTAAGCGATAAGAGGCGATAAGTGTTTAGTTACCTGGTAATAGACGCTAAGGGGCCGTTTACCAAATGCTTACCAGTTACCAGCAAGAGTCACTACCCTCATTTACCTTATCGTGTAACATTCTCGGCCATCAAAATGGATTGTCGGTTAGCATCTTTTACCGGTAAGCACTTTCTCCTTACTTACTCGGTAAAAATATTGGTCTTTGCTCTGCCTCTTACCGAATATAATTCTTGATCCTTGTCAGCAGGGACAAACGTCTATTTGAATCATGTTAGTGCCATTTTCTTGGTTTTAGCTTTTAGTTTCATATTTATTATGTTTCTTAAAAGATGTGCATTACAAGACTTGAATACAAGACCTCACATATGAAAAACAAAGACTAACCAACAGACCAACGATTTTTTTATGAAAAATATCCGAATATTTGTTTCTTTAGTCAAATAGTACCACCGCTCTGAAAAAATTTCTATGTCCGTCTCTGCTTGTCACCTCACCCAGTAAAGTAAGAGTTTGGCAAACGGCCACTAAGCGTTTAGTAAACAGGTCTTTAGTTTTTCATGTTTTTCAACGGTTTCACAAAAACAGTCTTAGTTTTGTTGTTTTCGAATGGTGATAGAAAGCAGTGTTATTGTGGATGCCTGAACCAGCACGAAGGGATGCAATAGTAGTTCGAGAAGCGTTTAGTACCAACATTGATCTAAAAGCCGTGACAGAAGTTTTATGTTCTCGAACTCCATCGCAATTACTACATCTTAAGCAAGTTTACCTTGCACTTTTTGGTGTTTATCTTGAGCAAGACATTCAGTCCCAAACTTCTGGTGATCATGAAAAGGTACCTACCTCTCCCCTCGGTTTTTAATTTTAGGTGACATTTGTTTTTTAAGAGGTGTTGAAGTCTGAAGTCTGATTTCACTTCTGATTTATGAGAGGTGACGATCCTGAAGTCTGAAATCTGGATCAATAAGATTGTTTGTTTTTACGTCTGAAGCATGAAATTTGAATCGGTCAAACTAGTGCAGAAATATAAAAGGTAGATAGTTTTTTACAAAAGTATAAAAGATGAATAGTTTTTGCTAACATATCTCTTCGAACCCCAAAATATGAACCATGCCATAGAGAGCGGATTAGGATTAAGAGGTGTTAAGAGATACGTTTACCACTTGAAATTTCAGAGGACATTTAGAGCTTTTAAGCTCTTATTTTAACAATAAAACAAATGCTTTTAATACCTAAACGTCTAAACGAATCAAACTTCAGAGGTATTAAGAGGTAATTTTGAAAAAACAAACATATGATTACTATTTTCTAATGAATTAGCATAGAGCATTCTCATGATCAATTAACATGATTTTGCTTGGCTTCTTATGTGATCTTGGTCATCTGCACACTTTAATGCTAAAACTTTGTTAAATATGTTAGGGGTTGTTTGGTAGTTGTTGTATGGTTTGGTGCATAATGATTAAGTGGTCAGAATAATTAAGAGGCTTTTATGATATAGTGCAAAATGAAATATAATTGTTTGGTAATTGTTTACAATAAAATCAATGCGCTTAATGGTTAAGGGAGACTCATGATACAAAATCATTCAGAGGGTTTTAGAACCATTAAGAGACATATTTTTTTTTGCCAAACAAGATTCACCTTTTAATGATTCAGATGTTGTCTCTTAATGGAACTATTAAGAGGTAAACAAACAATCCCTAAGTGTTTCTTGTTTCTAGCAGTCATATTTCGATGATTAATATGGTCATCTTCTTACTCCAATCTGTTGTTCTAATCTTGGTGTTTATAGTTGCTTCTTGCATATTTAAGTATACCTCGCAGTGAAGGCCCGGAATTCGATAGGACGATGGCGGAGAACGATGCTCAAGCTCTATACAAAGCTGGGGAAAAGAGGTGGGGAACCGACGAGGGGACTTTTAGACGCATTTTCAGCGAAAGAAGCAGGGCACACATGGCTGCAGTCGGGTCTGTGTATAAGCATATGTACGGAAACACATTGAAAAAGGTAAGCCTTTTTACGTTACTACTTATTCGGTATTACGAGCATTTGTTTTTCTTTGACGTACGTTATTGCAGGCGATCAAAAGTGAAACGTCGGGGTACTTTGGGGAAGCCCTTATGACTATCATACAATGTGCTGAGAATCCTGCAAAGTACTTTGCCAAGGTATTGTTTCTATTGCCCTTTATTCGTCTTCGAACACAAAACTACGACAACAAAATGCGTGTTTTACGACCCTTATTACTACAATATTACGTTTATAAACGTCCTAATACAATGTTTATAGAGTTCAAACGACCAAACAATATACGCCCTGTTACAATAGATTTATAGAAAGCTTTTGGGTGTTGAGATACGTCTTTTATACGATACTCCTTGAAAAAGTCACTACAACAAAATTGTATTTATAGGACACCCCCAATCTTTAAGTGTCCCAATAGACCGCTTTATAGGACTTAATTTATAGGACCAAAATATAAAGTGTCGCGTTGTAATAAGTTTATATGACGCTTTGGGGCGTCTTAATAAGTTTTTAAGGACATTTTTAATAAAAAGTGTCGCATTAGCAACTTTATAGGACACTTTTGAGAAATTGTCCTATAATCTCAAGTTTTTATAGGACACTTGTTTTTATAGGACATTTTTTCAAATAGTGATCTATAAAGTTGATAATGGGACGCTTTATATTAAAAGTGTCCTAAAAAACTTATTACGACATCAAGAAACGTCATATAAACTTTATGCAACACCATTAGATAGGACACTTCATTTTTTTGGTCCTATAAAGAGGTCTATTAGGACATTTAGAATTTGAGAGTGTCCTATAAACCCGATTTTGTTGTAGTGAGTATCATATAAACAGAGAAGTCCCATAAAAAGATGGACTTATAGGATACTTTATCAAAATCGTCTTATAAAGTAGTTAATATGACACGTTATTTTGAAAGAGTCCTAAAACACTTGTTAAATCTCCTAAAAGCGTGCTATAAACCTATTATAACACATTGGCATGAACACTTTATAATTTGGTCCTATAAACTTAAGTCCTACATAATATTCTATTAGGACGTTTCGGCATTTTATGCACCCTATAAAACCAATTTTGTTGTAGCGTCCGGACGTCCTAATACAGTACTAACGGGACTTTAAGTTTATATAGAACCAAGAATTGTACGTCCTGTCTAAAGATATTACAATAAATTTTTAGGACGAAGTTATGACATAACAGTTCTAATGACGAAGTTAGATAATCTAATAGGACACAAAAAATAAATCGTCGTGTTAGTATTTGTTTAAGACACTACTGAAAGTGTATTATTAGCCTTTATATATATATATATATATATATATATATATATATATACACACACACACAATACTCTTTAAAAGTGTCATTTAAAAAGACCAACACGATGATTTACTTTTTGTGTCTTAACTCTTAAGTTGCTATACTTCGTTGATAGAATTTGATAGGTCATCCTCACGATACTACAACAAAATTGAGTTTGTAGGACATCCTCAATCTCTAAGCGTCCCAATAGACCGCTTTATAGAATTTAATTTATAGGATCAGAATATAAAACGTCCCAAAGCGTCGCATTAGCAACTTTATAGAACACTTTCGAAAAAGGGTCCTATAAACTCATTTTTTTATAAAACACTTGTTTTTATAGGACATTTTTTCAATCTAATAAGACGCTTTATATTAAAAGTGTCCTATAAACTTATTACGACGTCAAAAAACGTCATATAAACTTATTACAACGCCTTTAGATAAGACACTTTATTTTTTTTGGTCCTATAAACTAAGTCCTATAAAGAGGTCTATTAAAACGCTTAGAAATTGGGAGTGTCCTATAAACCCAATTTTGTTGTAGTGTATATGATATGCACAAGCTGTAGGCTTCTGATCTGATGAACATACCATCTTGTGGGGTTTCATATATATATCGACTAAAGGTAATAACGTCGATGCATTATTCAAAACTATAGGTACTACGTAAAGCAATGAAGGGCTTGGGAACCGATGATAAGACACTGATAAGGGTAATCGTGACGAGGGCAGAGATAGATATGCAGTATATAAAAGTCGAATACCGTAACAAGTATGGTAAAAGTTTGAACGATGATGTTCACTCCGAGACGTCTGGCCATTACAGATCCTTTCTTCTTACTCTCTTGGGCCCTGACCAGTGACCACCATTAGAGCTTCGCGTATTGGTTAATACTTTTGATATACGGAGAATATTTAGGCACGCTCCTCACCTTTCGTGAGGTTTGAACCATTGAGTTTCTGAGAGACTTGATCCGGATACCATTGGGTCGATAAGTGTGCAAAAAATTAGGCATCTTAGAAAGGTATAAGAAAAATACACTCCTTTTCAAGATAAAAAACAAATATAGAGATGTATGTTACCATGGTTATACGAAGACTAAAAGGGTACTCGCGGAATATAGCGAGATACATTTTGATTTTAATATTTCATTTTATTCTTTTTCTCAGTCGATGTTATAGTATGATTTTATGTGATTTTGAAAAAGCAATGATGTTTTTATTTTTGAATAAAATATAAATTTGAAAATATATAAAAAATTGACAAAAATATATCGATATTAGTATCAAATTAACTATTTAAAATTCCTATTTTTGTGTAGTTTATAATTTATTTATTTTTGTTATAATTTAATTTAGGTTCAATACTGAAGTAATTTATATTTGGTTTAATAATATAATTTTTTGATAAAGATAATAATTAATTATTTTATTAGAACTCGATAATTATTCTAATTATATTTTAAAATGAGATGTTTATCCTCTATTTGATTATGTTTATCCGCAGTTAGTTACACGAATTCAAACATGGARCTTTAATAAGTTGTATTTATGCATAATTTACTTGTAATCTTGAATTTTAAGTAATATGCATCAATATACAGTACTTCATGCATAAAAAATGGTTTTTAAGAGTTTTTGTCAAATGTTTTATAATATAGTATAGATATCTTTCCTTTCAGGTTTTGAATATTTCCAAGTACCATTTTTTTTGTAGTTCACTTGGAATAAAACTATCTTCAAAATAGAAAAAATGGGGATTTTGAATCAATATTTTGCTTCGATAGCTTCCCTAAAACTATCTTCAAAATGGAGAAAATAGAAGAGAGAAGGTTCTTTTCTCCAAATATGGAGTTAGCATGGACGTTCCAATATTTTTGGAGGCCCTGCTACATCCAAAACTTTTGAGTATATTGTATAAATGAGATATAAGAGAATATTTGTTAAGAACAAAAACGGGTTAAACCTAAAACGATTAACAATCTGAAACTAAATCTAAACCATTAATAATTTGAACCTAAAATCAAACAATTAATGGTTTGAACCTAAATAATTTCGGTCAATTTTACACAAGTCGATAAAAAGACCCTAAACACGTATAAATTTAGGCCCCAAAATTTTGCGCGCCCTGTTCAAAATCTCACATTTAAAATGCTAAGGGATGACCTTGAGTTGGCTTAAAAAATGATTACCAAATAAGATCACTAATAGGAAAGTTTTTAAATTAAATATTTTAATAGAAGAATAAAATATTTGAATACTATAATCAATGTTGGATTTTCCAAAATGGTAAATCTGATGGAGATGAATGTAATTCTTTTTAAAGGTTTTGACTTTTGCTTCTCCATTTTTTTAAATTTTTTTAAAAAATATGTCGAAGATGCTCTGACAGGTTTGAAGCTTTGAGGGGTTGTTCATAAAAGTTGGTGTACTGAATTGTAGAAGGGTTGTGATTTACATATCTCTAAACTTGAAGGGTACTAGAGCAACACATCATATCTTGAGGGCTTCCATGAAAAATGATTTCAATACAAAATTAGCATTTTTTTTATTAACTTGGATATCCAATCCGTTATGTGAGCCTTTACAGATAGTCCGGAGTCATCGCATTTGAACTTCCGTAGCCACAAGGAAATTTTTATTTCTCCTTGGATTTGAACCTGGGACCTCCAAGAATTTTTAACTCTTGAAGTCAAGCTCAGACCAATTAGCACCACCATTATCATTAATTTCTTTTATTTTTTGGAATATAGTTTTCGGAATTTGAAGAAGCAATTGTAATATTTCAATAAAATATCTACACATGCATTGGAAAAACTTCCATAATGGTGGCTTGCATCATATATTATATTACACACACACACACATATATATATATATAATACATATATATCTATGCTACAAAATTGACAAAATATTAATATTTAATAATATCGACCTAATTATAGGAATTCAATGTATCATAAACGACAATTCCAAGTCTACTATAACAAGTGATTTTTAAACACGTTTATAGAATTATGTATATAATATAATGAGAGTTTCAAATAAAGAGATTAAATATTATGAGTAAGTAATAATGGAGGGTTCATTTGTTAATCATTTAAATTCATTTTCAATTTAAGTGGCCATACAAACCACTTGATTCGTGAAAACTATGCAAATTATTCTCGACCAATAGAAAATTTTCGTTTTTTATTCTTTAATTTTAATAAGTAAAGGCATAATTGTCATTTTACTGTATAATGGTTAATATTGGAAATGATTTAATTATTTTTAAATATGAAAACGTAAATATAGAAACCGTTTATATGGAAGGTGTAAATCAATTGTTTTTAAATATAATATTAGAAATGATTTAATTATTTTTAAATATGGAAATGAAAATATAAAACCTGTTTATATGGATGGTGTAAATCAATTGTTTTTAAATATAAAACGGTGAAACAGTGAAATAGTTGCACACAATGAAGATGACAGATTAATACAGTTTCATAATGTGAAACAGATTCATACGGTGAACCAGATTCACACATGTGAATAAATAATGTGAAACAGATTCATACAATGAAGAAATACATGTTCATCTAGTTAAAATATACAGATTAATACAGTGATGAAATAATATTTTTCATATAGTGAAATAGTTGCATACAGTGATGAAATACAGTTTCATTCAATGAAATAGTTACATACAGTGAAGAGGACAGTGATGAAATACAATTTAATACAGTGAAATAGATTCATATGGATGATTTGCCGATTTTTCCCTTTTTTAATTAAAAATTAAAGTTTTTTTTAATTTCCTAATATAACACTATTTAATCTTGACCATTAATAAAAAAAATGAACGAATGAGATTGGTTTGTAGGGTTTTCACAAATGAGGGTGGTTTGCAATTGAACGTGAATTAATTTGATTAATATGTGATTTCATATAAGTTTTGATTGTTTCTTAATATAAAGTATTGATCATAATTAATGAACTATAATCATCTTCCATAAATATTCAAATCATAATAAATGAACTCTCATCATTTCCATAAATATCTCAATTGATTGAGTTACATTGTTTGTACAAATGGACATGGTTGCATTTGAAATATATATATATATATATATATATATATGTATATATATATATGTATATATATATATATAGTATGTGTGTGTTAGAAACATTTTTTTTTAATAATTGTTGATGTCTAGACAAGCTTGTACATACGTCGAAAATCCTACTACACCCTGAAAATAAAAATTAGAAAAATCTCTAGTAATCTTAAGGAGTATTGAAACGAAGAGCGAAGACCCAAGCCATGTTTTTGTTTGTCAAGAAGTTTGCAATTACTTTGTAGCTACTTCACATAAAAATTTGATCGTAGAAAATAAGGAACTCAATAACTGTAAAAGATGTTATGCTTTTCTGGTTCTATTGGATTAGATCCAGATTCAAATCTGCCCATCTAAGAGATAGCAAACTATCTTGATTGGTTGGCCCATCGACTTGCCTCCGCCTAACTATGGAGGCATCATATGTCACCTGTTTGATACAAAGCGAGTGGCTCTTCTAAGCGGGCAACTGAGCTGAGAGTGCAACCCATTCAATCGATATGGGCCTGTCCTTTCTACATTTGGAGCATTGAACAAATCCAGTAAAAAAATCATATTGAAAACAATGGTAGAAGCTAGTCGTCAGAAGCGAACTTCCGGGCCGGGTGGCCGCTTGTGAATTCTTTCAAGGCAAAGGGTGGCAATTCTTGGCGTAATACTAACTCGAAGATGATGGGTGTCGGGATTTCTCAGAAGGTGTTGCCTTTGTATTTTACATGATCCAAAAACATAAGTTTTGAATAAAACTTAGAGGCTGTTTACCAAAATCTGCGGTTAAGTGTCCACCAGAATAAGATAAAACAAGATGTATGTGTGAAATAAGAGATCCGATGATTATATGGAAATTATTGTTTACTAATTATTTATAGCATTCATTTACCAAGTAAAAAGTTGAAAGTTATACCCCTCAATTTAGACTAATTGCTTACTAGAAAAATGACACTTTTATAACTATAATTATTTTATGAACTAAAAATGTAATTATGATTAAATTCAAAGTTACTGACCGACTTCTGCTATTAAAATAACACATATGTTGGGTTATTGTATAATAAAATAAAAACGATGAGGATTATTTTTTGACCAACAATCGTGTAAGAAGGAGAGTTAAGGTGAGAAATGTGAGAAGGGATCCGGATCCTTGATCACATTTAGGGGCTGTTTACTAAACACTTACCCGGTAAATGCTTACCGGTAAAATTTAACACTATTATTTACTTACCGGGTAAGATTTTAGTCCACCAAAACGACATTGTATGCAACAATTTACCCGGTAAGCACTTACCGTGGTAAGAGTCTGTCGTCCTCACTTACCGGGTAAGACTCTTGGTTCTTGTCTCGTTCTTACCGGGTAAGATTCTTGGTCTTTACCATATTCATGCGGTGAGGTAATGTTACTTGGTAAGCGCTTACCCGGGTAAGCGTTTGGTAAACGGCCCCTTAATCTCAAACTCACCCATGAATTTTTCTTGATACGATAATTGATCTGGTGCATCTTGGTGCATCTCATCCTAATGTATATCCAAGGATGGAGATCACTTCTTATGCTTCTCACTTTAACTCTCATTCTTATCGAAAACTAACTCTTATTTTTATGATATATATAGGGGCGTAAATGATGCGAATCGAGCTCGAGTATCACTATACTCGACTTGAACTCGAAGCCCAATTTCCAAACTCGAACTCGACTCGAAAACTCGCGAGTAGTAAAAATCAAAGCTCGACTCGAACTCGATAACTATTTCTCAAACTCG